GGCAGAGCATCCCCCAAGGCCCTGATCTCAGCCTGAATCTTCATCCTGAGACAGCCACATAATAGGAAAACTTCTACTGATGAAGTTAAATAAACCATGACAATTAAAGGATTAGGAATGTTACGGGTCTTGTGAAGAAAAATATCTTCTGGACATGTACAGGGCATTAGGAAAAGAAGCCAAAACTCAAGAGAATTTGCTGTGACTTTATGTGACTGCAGGAGAATACATCAGGGCCCTGATATACAAAAGGATTATTGATATGTATGTTCCCTTCTGAAGAGACTCCCAGGAGATCCATTCTGGATTTAACAATAATCCATACCGCCCTTCAGAAATGGCAAAACAATGCTCCCATTTCCCAGGACTCCCTCCAACACAGGAATCATTAAGATGCCATCACAGCCCTGCATTCCAGGTGCCATAAACACCAGCTGGAACAGGAATAAATCCCAACCACATCTCATGAGCAGTCAACACCTCCACATTTCTGCACAAGCATCTGCCTGAGGTACCCACTGTGGAGAGGTGCAGACTGCAAAGGTGAGTGTGCCACAGCAAAGGTGTGGGTGTCCCAGCAAAAATGGGGAGATGCTGTTGGTCTCTAATGAGCTACGGGGGCTTAAGAGAGAGGCTGGTTATAAAGGGGATCAGTGAAATCTCAGGAGAGGTGTCAGGACAGTGATATTTGCAGCAATGATGAAGAACAGAAAAGTGCCCCTCCTTGTGAGCAGTTTCTCCCTTGTTCAGGGCCACTTGTTTGTGTTAATATATGCACACGTGTGTGTCATATTTTCAGAAAGCCTCTCACATTAAACTCTCCTTTCTCCTCCAAAGCCATTCCACAGTATTTCTCTGAAATGCATTAAGCAGGCTGAGTGAACAATGTGATCCTAATTAGTTTGCAAACTACACAGCTCACCTCTGAGGGTGAGCAAAGCCCATGTAAATTAAAGTGAATTGCAGAGAATTGGCTCAGGCTGCCCAAGGAATCCCTCTCCAGATTAGGGCTGCTCCAAAGTGCCACCTCCACCTCCCACCCTCCCATGACAACTGAGCAGATTTCATCACGATAGCAGGGAATAGAGAGATGTAAAACCACTTTGCAGCTCAGTATTCCATGGTGGGCTATTTTGCACAATGCAGAGGAGCCCATTTGGTCATTTACCAAAAGCCAAAGTCTGGTCCTTCACAGGTGCCCCAGGCTGCAGAGGCCACTGATGCTGTCCCCACTCTGGTGACCCAAGGTGAGCACAGGGACGCTGCCAAAGCCCAAATGCTACAAAACCTGTGTGAAGTTTTGATGGTGATGTCCCAGGGTTTATGCAGTAATTGAATAATCTAAAATTTTCATTCCTGTCCTCGTGGACTAATCTGCAATAGTGTTAAGGGACTGCTATGATATTAATTAAATACAAGTCCTGCATACAAAATTGATACTTCGCATCTCCATCTCCACAAGGGAGTTTCTCTCTTAATAAGACTGAAATCAAGTTTTACTTTTTTGTTTGGTTTTTTTTTTCTTTATAAGGAATTCATAAGGATTACCATATTGTACCAAGGTAACAAACACCCAATCTGCAAGAAATTTCAAATACAGAAGCTCTGGTGCTTGGAGTGGGACCAGGGGCACAGCTCTGCCCCAGCCCTGGGACAGCCCCTCTCCAAAACCACTTCTCAGGCACTGGGGTTTGGAGAGACTAAAATATCCTCAACACAGGATAAAGAGCAGCTTGATCAGTGTCAACCTTCCAAAACACAGATGACAAGAGGGAAATTCACTATAAAAACATGACCTCGTTTTAATTTTGGCAGCAATTTACTACGAATTCACGTGAAGGCACAGTTACACTCTCCTGGAAAAGTTCACACACAAGAAAAGGCAGAAATGCATCCTCTGAGCCAGGAGCCTGCAAAGCAGAGCAGCACCATCCAGAGTCATGGCAAAGCTATTCCAACACTCCCCTTACTATTATTTATTAGTTAATATTTTTAATTATGTGAATTGATTAGGAACGCATCACCAGGGATCCTAATTAATTAGAATTTTAAAAAGGATCACAGACCAGAGATTCCACAAAGAATTGCACAAAGAGGTGTATTAAGGGAAAGGCCAAATTAACTTCTCCTTTCTGGTTTATCCAGCCTTTTCTGACAGGACTGTGATCAGATTAACCAAGTAATACCCAAACCCCTCCTGTATAGCAATGCTAACCAAGGCAACAGCTTGAGGATTTCAGGCCATTTTCATTTAACATCCACTTGGTTAAGTAGTTTATTCCTCCTAATCCACATTTATTTAAATGAGTCAAAGTAGTTTATTCCTTATTTATGTTCTAAATTTGCTTTAGCTGTCTCACCCATGCTCACCAAATCCTTCTGCAGGGTTCTGATAGACATCAACATCCCTCAGGATGCAGACTTTTTGTTTCAAAAATGTATTTTTCTATTTACCCAAGACTTGGAAAGACAAAGGAACCATCACACTGACAACACTCAGGAAGGAATTAATTATTAAATCTTCTAATACAAGTCCCTGTTCAGAACTGGCTGGTCAGTAGTTTCACAGGCCAGCATGTTCCTCTGCCCTGCCTCCGAGCTGCCATTTCCAGAGCAATGTTTGGATGCTATTGATGCTCTTGGCTGTCGGCTCTGCAAGTACTTTTCCATCAGTGCAACAATGATCCCTATTTATCTTCTGGCTGCAAGAGTTGCTGAGATGATCTGGCAGTGCCACAAGGCAGACAGTTATTTCATGCCCTGTTAAACCCTAATGCGGCTAACTACGGTATCACTCCAAATTTGAAAAAAAGCCTTTTTTTGTTATTTTAAATCTGCTGCCTACGTGTCCAAGTTGAGAACATTGCTTCCTTTTAAAATGGTATCAGCAACCTAAAGCCAAAATGCTCTCTGTGAAGCAGCAAGGTGTACTGATTGAGTAATTAATTAATAAGGTTAAAACGACATCATTCTGCCCAAGAAGCACTGGAAGTCAAAAGAACAGACAATTTCTGCATCGTTCAGAACAGAGACTGGCAGTGACCACCCAGGTGCTGCCTGTGGATGAGAGGGTCCAAGTACCTTCTTGAAGATAGAAAATCAGGTACTAAAGGGCTCTCAAGCTGGAGAAGGATGTAGGAACGAATGGCTAAACCCTGGTACATCCAAATCACAAAGCAAATAGTTGAACACTTATTTTCCTGAGTGGTGAATGTGATCAGCCACAAGGAGGATCCCTGAAAGCTGTGCTTCCTCCAGCTCCAGATGTGCCCGTATTTGCTACTTTCCAGGAGACACACTTCAGTAAAATAGAAATTAATGGGTTCAGTGCAGGGTTCTTTGAGCTAAACACAATCACCACCACATCCATGCAGTTGGGCACTAAGGGGCTGGATAGCTCTAGCTTTGGAATAACCCCAAGAAAGTCCCATTTATTTTCTCGTGTGCTCATGTGGCAGGCAAAGGTCATCAACAATCTCTTGCTACAGGTAAAGGGACAGCACAGGGTCTGGTGTTCTGAACTGTGAAAGTTTACAGAAGTTAATTAAATCACACTCTGCAAACCCAAAACAAAAACAAGGCACCATTTCTGTGATGATGACTTTTTTTTTTTTTTGTGCTTGTCATAATAAAACATTGTTATTGGATGTAAAAATTATGGAACAAAGTTATGCCTCTCTGGTGTAATATAATGCAATCCATTTAATACTATTTTAAACCCCAAAACCTCATTAGAGCAGACAGAATGTAAGAATGACAAATGGGCTAGGAGGAAGCTGGAGCACGAGATGAATTCTGGGCACTCGTCCCCTTCCCGTTGCTGGCACTGACTTTGGGGATGCTGGGGGAGTCTCAGCCACCAGCTCCACGTGGGGAGAGCAGGGTGCCCCTCACCCCAACAGGAGGGAGGTTCATGCCTTGCAAAGCATCAGCCAGACAGGCCTGGAGACACAGGTGAAGCTCTGTCTGTCATGGGCACCCCCATTACCCCAGCCAGGCTCACAGGCTGTCAGCTGTAAAATCACCCCAGCCTACACAAACACACACCCGGCAGCCTCACGCTCCTTGGCCAAAATGACACAGCTGAACACTGTAATTACACATTTTAACAGCCTTGGACCACTCTGGCCCCAAGTTTGGTATCCAGTGTTGGGAATATAGCCCTGCTGTCTTAGGAACGAGATGGGCACAGCTCTGTGGGTAGGCTTCTGCTACCAGAACATGTAATTGCTATTTAATAAATATAAAACGTGCATAAATGCACTTGTTATCCACACCTGTGCAAACCTTTAACATCAGAAGTGACCAGAGTGATCAGAACAGCTCTCTCTTCATGCAGATTGAGGTTAAGAAAGAAAAGTGGTGTCAAACAATGACATATTTCAGAACAAATGAGCTTATTCAGAAATAATGCCTCAGGTGCAATCACTTGCATGAATGTGTCTGAGTGGCTGAATACCATCAGCAGAGCAAAGGTTCTCTCAAAACACACATGGATTCTGGGTCAAATTCAACAGAAATTCTTCCCCTGCATACTGCAAGACCAACACTCCATCAGCACACAGAAATTACAGCAATTGCTACCAAAACTTAGCTGAGATTTGTGAGAATCAAATTGGACCATTCCAGCTGCCATGGTTACAGAGTGCTGTGCTGCCCACCCTGAGGTGTCGGGCTGCCCTTGGGCAGTGCCTGTTACAAAAAGCAGAGTTTACCAGAGTGGAGACACTCTACAGTCACACAGCCCAGCCAGCAGCCACACAGGCTGGTGGTGAAGCTGTACTCACAGTTTGCTCAAAAGAGTAATAAAGAACAAGTATATTTGCTGGGGGTGGGGCGAGTTGGGGTTTAACCTCAGCCAGCAACTATGACCCAGGCGTGGGGTAACAGATGCAATTCAGCAAATAGGAGTCATTTTCTGAAGGTGTGGACAGCCTTTGTTGGTTTGAGGTGTCTTGGGGAGCCATCACAGCCCACAACCACCCCCACCAAGCTCCTACCTCCACTCCTTGCACCTTCAGTTTCATGTGATCCTCTCTGGTGGTCTTCCCGTCTTTCCTTTTTTTCCAGCAATATCCATCTTTCCTGTATTTCACTTTCTTTCTGTTGTACAGGATCATAGAACCATTCTGTGGTCTAAAAGCAAGAAATAGGTTTGGGTTACATAAAGCAACAAAACCAGACTGAAAGTGTCTATGGAACAATGTCCCACAGACCAGCAAAAGGCTCCACAGAAAGTAACAGTCAGGATTTGGTGTCAAATGAAATAAATGCTCCCCTTTTGCTGCTGTTACCTGGCTGAAGTGATGTCTGCAATCTGCAAACTCTTCTGTGAGGATCTCTTACCTAATGCAGGGAGTGCCAGTGACAGGTTAAAGAAAGGAAAGAAAGGAATTCTGATAAAATAGCCAACATTTGCACAGGATGTATTTTGACTGCTACATGCTGAAAATCAGAAGGAAAGAAAATTTAGGGGTAAAAAAGGATTGTTGTTATTTAATTACAATTTCTCTCTCTTGCTAACACATCAGCAGAATGAGATTCCAACCACCTCTAAGGCTGCACCAGGACATGGATGTTGGCTTAAAATGGCAATAAACAAGCAAAACAGAAGGGGAGGATAAAAGCACGAGCTTACACATTGGTTTCACTGCTCTGCTTAGATCAGTGCTAGACAGGGAGTAACCTGCTCCCTTCTGAGCACCTTCTCAACTTCAAAGACACAGGAAAACTTCCACTTAAAAACTACGATGGCAATTTGAAATGTCCTTAAAGGCATGGTGATGCCCAGCAGACAGGAGCCACTGTAGTTTGGGTGTGGAGAGATTTTGCTATTTGTAAGCCAGATCACAACTGAGGCAAGTCTGTTGTAACACCAAGAAATAACAAATACCCTCCAAGCTGGGAGGCATTTTTCCAAATACACACAAATATTTATTGCTTGTGGCCAGAAAGCCAAGCCCCATCCTCCCAAACTATCCCCCTATCCTATCCCCCAGGTCCCAGCAGCCTGGACCCAAGGGCTTGGGGAGGCTGCTCCTCCTCTCTTCCTCCTCCTCATAACCCTGAAAATAAACACTGGGGTGTCAGCACAGCCACGGTAACTGTTTGACAGCACTGGAGATAGTGCATTAATTCAGTGGAGGTATTCTGTATCTCATTTCAGTGTTTATTCTATAAACCCCCAGTCACTGCACGTGGCAGCTTAAACCCTTCTCACAGCACCAGAGATCCCCCAGGCACCTTCAGGCTGTGTCCGTGGCTCACGAGTCACCCAGGGCAGGCAATGAAAAGCCAGAGAGAGCTGAGCTCCTGCCTGGTGGCCCTGCCCTCACAGACATGGTTTTCCACAAAACAGAGGAGTTGGAGGCTTTTGATGCCAGGGAAATCCTGCTTCCCTCACCCCCAGTGCCACGCGGGCACACATAGGGCAGAGCTGAGCTCTGCAGCCTTGCTGCTGCTCTGCAGGGCTGGAACAGGGTTTGTTGGTTGATTTCTGCAATGAAAAAGGAACACAGTGAGAGGGCACTGGCAAAGCAGTTAACGAGATTTATAGAAAATAGAGCCCAATGAAACAAAATCTCTTAAGGATCTCTGGAGCGGTTTTCGATTTTGATAAGAGTGTATCGAGCTGCTTTAAGGCTCACAGAAAGCAGCTGGTTTTTAAAGATAACTTCATGAGATGAGACACAATTTTAACCTGATCTACACTGCTGCTGCATTTCACCCACTGTAAGGAAGAAAAGAGGAAAGCTCTGCCCTGCTCATCCATCCCTCAGCATTCAGACACAGCCCAGAGCAGCCAACTGATCATGTGGGAAGACACAGCAGGCGAAGCCTGCCGGGGATTCCCAGGGCATGTGACAGATGTGACTCCAGCCCAAATCTCTGGGGGTTTTGCCACTCAGACTGAATTTGGGGATTTCCTTTTTCCCTTTGCAGATGAGAGGGACAAAGTCACAAGCCTGAGCGCAGGCTGCAATTCTTGATTGCTCTGGATTTCCTCTCCTTTACAAGCCTGTGGCATTTAAAAGCTGCCTAATCTCTATTTTGGTTTCTTGCCTGTGGCCTGAGGGAAGGTGAGGGAAGGACAGGAAGAGTAATTGCAAAGCAGAAAGCCTTTTGTCTCAAGTATTGATGAGATCTGGAATGCTTTCCTCCCTCTCACCCTGCTATCTACCGCCAAGGCTCCCACAAATTGCCACAACAGCCTAAAAGCTACTTTTGCCCAAATTATTCCTGCTACAGCCAGGAAGAAGATCCTAAATTCTATTTTCCTATTTATTTTTAACATGAACAATCATCCCCTGTAGCCAGTGGGTCTGAGCTCGTTGCTTGGGGAGACCCAGGGCTCCTGACAGAGCTCAGGAGTAATCCAGGCCAGTGGATAAATCAGAGTTTCCCTCAGTAAAACAAAGAAAGGGAGGAAAAGAGGAAATGGGATTTCCAGGGAGCATTTTCCAAAGAGGTCATTTTGGATTTGACACCCAACTCAGCTGTCCATACTCACCTCTGGCTCTAAGTCCTGCTCTGAGTGGGTTTTGTTTCTTTTGGATTAAGTTCCTCACCTGGGTCATAGGAATCTAAACCTACTTATCTTGGTAACAGGAACCAGGATGCAAAGAGGGAATAAACAGAAAGCAAGTTAAGATTAGGATATTTTGGTCAACTGATGCTTCATCTGTCACTCCATTAGTGCTCAAATTTAGGTCTCTCTGGCCTGAAGGACAGAGATTTCCCCTTAATCACATTACTGCAATATTAAAAATGCTTTTCAGTTTAACCAGTTCCCTCTAAATTGTCACATCGAGATGTGGTAAATGTCAGACATATCAGTTAATGAAAACTACGTTTTACTGCCTCAGGAGCTGGGGGTGCCAAAAGGGAATTGCAAATACTGCAAAGCCAAGAGTCTCTTTTTCAAGATAACAGAGCAAAATCAGCCAGAACCATTCCTTGAGAAGGTCCACGGCTCTAAGAGTTATTTTTTATTGTATCATCTGCATTTATTGCAGTTCCAATCCAAGGAGGATATTTAAAGGACAAATATGGATGTTTAATACCATAAGGCAGAGGCACCACACACCAGACTCTCCCTGTACCTCACCAGTGCACGAGCAGAAGCTGCCCCCAGTGCCTGGGTGACAAACCCTCCCCACCCCTGCCACCCACCACACTGAGAGATGGCTCCTGCACACAGCCTGGATGGTGCCATTTTTCACCTGCATGATAATCTTCTCTGGCTGTGAAGTTATCACAGAGCCAGGGGACAACAGGAGGGAACTATCTTCCATCTTCTGCATCTATGCATGATAATAATGAGAAATTAACTTCTGCTTTCCCAAAGGAGCAACCTACTGATGCAGAAAGTGGCTGGGAAAAGCTGGAGTCCTGGAGGAAGACATGAAAAGAGACAGCCTTTCAAGAAAATATTGCACAGAATCCTTGTCCTCCTTTCCTTAGGAATGCAAGGAAGACCAAGCCCTTGAACTTGTCTTCATCCAGGCCAGCGTGGGAATAGGGAGAGGTGCCAAGAGTGAGTGTGACAAGGTCCCTCCCACTCAGCCAATGCCCTGCCATGCAGCAGAGCAGGCAGAGCTCTGGGGCTAGCAAACACTGCAGGTGATCAACTCCAAGTAATCATCTATTTCCTTCTTCTCTGCACTGTCCTCACACTGCAGCAGTGATGGACAGGGACTGTCAGTCAGGATTCACATCATGCTCTCAGAAACACCTCATCTCTTATTTCTTGTTTCTGCCCAAGAAAAATATCTGATGACTGAAGTTATTTCTCCCTTGAGGAATGCTGCTCTTGAAGTCTTCATTTACCTTGACATTTCCCCCCACTGCACCTGTGGCTTATCAGAAGATTAAAGCCCAAATGGAAAACTGAAAGAGGAATCTCAAGCAGTTGCAGCCCTTGACATCTCACCTGCCCTTGGCCATGCAGATACCTGGACACTCACTGCTGGTTTAGGAGGATGTGAGCCTCCAGGCTCAGTAAGGATGGAGGCACCCAAGGCCGAGCCATGACCCCTGTCCCACCAGCCCAGGGATGCATCTGGAGGATGCTCTAACAGGTAGATCTCTTCCATACTGACAAAAAGCTTTAAAATTATATTTAAAATTATATTATATTTACATGGGCAAATGTTTTCAAGACTGTGGGGATTTTTGTCCACCACAGCTGTAACACTGGCAGATCACACACAAATTTTTTTTTGTTTGACAAACACTTTTTTCCTCCCTCCTAAATAAGTGCTTGGCTTTGACCCTCAGGTAATGATTCACACTTGCCCTGAAAGAAAAGAAACCCCAGCATGTGCCCAGCCTGCACCGGTGGGACCAAAAACCAAAGAAAAGCCCTTCAAAAACTTCATGTAGATGTTCAGACTTCACCATAACTGCTGGAAAGCCATGGCATCTCATGGGGAGAGGCTGCTGCCATTACAACCTCCACTATACACACTGCAAACTGGGATTATTGGCACAGCAACTGAAGGAATCACAGATTATATGTTTGAAATTTTTCTGATCTTTGATCTCTATAGGGATGAAATAAAGACTTCAGATAAGTCTTCTTATCCATGTAGTAGGAGGTATAAATCACAAGGAAACGTAAATAGACTGCAAGTTTTTTGTATCTAGAATTAAATGTCATTTCCATTTAAGATGTAAGTGAATTTTCTTCATATCTACAATATTTAAGAAGTTGAAGTCGAAAGTCACAGACGTAGCAATTTTATCCAGAGCTGCAGTTAAGGCAATGGCTAATCCCATCAAGGGGGCATTAATTGGTGTCTAGATGCTCCTTCTCATAGCAGCAGTAGGCCATAAAACTTAATCCTTACCTCCTCTTTCCAGCATGTAGACTCTGTGTTCATCAATAAAAGTAATGTGATTCATTAAGTATGGGAGTAATTACCTGTGGCTCCAACAAACAGGACTGAACAAGCCATGCCAGTGCCAAGTTGGCTTTTGTGCCCTCGCTCAGAACTGCCAGGGGCTGCCAAGGAAAGCCCTTCTGCAGATCAGGATAAATGCTGATGGCTGCAACACAAGCTGCAAACCACTACACAGCTGCTGGGCATCTCCTTGGTGTGGGTGGGATAGCCAGTAACAAGTCCTACCCCAAA